TTTTTTTTTTTTTTTTTTTTTTTTTTTTTTTTTTAATGCTTACCATAGTCTCCTACTCCCATCACAAGCCAAATATTGCCTTTCATGTGCAAAACCCCCCAATTTTCCAACCCAAATCTTCACAAATTCTTACAACCCTATATGCCAATGGTTTTCCTCTTCTGAATGAGTTTTCTGCACAACCTTACTTCAATAGATAGATGAACCAACTACTAGTCCACCTTACCATGTTTTTGATATATCCCCCTTTCATTTGCAACATTGGTGTTATATATATAATAAATATGTCTTAGTATTATATACATTAAAATACTGATAAAAAAAATAGGTAAAATTTCATCTGTCTTTCGCTTTCCCATTTTTTCTAATTTTTTTAAACAACCATTTATGTTGTGTAAAGAAAACAATCGTTTGTCTTCGTTGTTTAATCCAATCATACATGTTATCGGGTAGAAATTAATTATTAAAAAAATAATAGATATTTTGCAAGTATAATATAATGATAAAAAAAATGAAAAGAAAAAAATTAACCCAAATATTCTCAAGTTTTTTTTAGAAAACATATATCTTCACTTAAAACAATCATGTTTAAAAGTTAAAAGTTAATTAGATGAGATGATAAGATTTATTAAGTGGAACAATCTTTTTCTAATATATGTTATTCTTTAAATACAAACTTAAAAAATTCAATCACTAAATTAATTATGGTAATTGAAGGAAAGGGTAGGAATTTATACATGAAGAGTTTTGATCATTATTGCAACTATTTTTAGAATCTTTCAAATAGATCCAAAAAAAAAATTCAAAAAATTATTTAGTGATCAAGATAATTTTATTAATTTATTATTTATTACATCAACAGAATATGATAATCTTATATCTTAATTTATCTTATTAGTTTAGTGTATTTTTTATTATAAGGATAGCTAGATTAAAAAGCAATAGGATAGGATAAGTTTTCTACCCTCTTATTCTATACATTGTGTCTTGTATTATATTATATTACTACTATTACTATAACTAGTGGGGATAAAACAAAAGGCATTATTTGCTTCCATTTAAAAAGAAAAAATAACAAATTAATTATCTTAATTATGTATAGTTATTAAAGATGAATTTGGAAGGATAGAATGGGACACCAAGGAAATCCTTTTAATTATCAATTATTAGTATAAATTAACAACAAAATACATAATAAGTATAAATATATAATATTAAATATTAAATCATAAAATATAACAATATACATTATATAATATTAATTTATACAATAATATGTAATATTATATTATATATAATAATATATATATATATATATATATGTGTGTATATACTAATTTATATAATAAATTATAAAATTTACATTCAACATTTTATTTTATATATAATTATAATATTTTTTGACAGGTAAATATAAAATATATTATTAACTAAAATATTGAAATAAAATTATTATTTATATAGTTTTTAGAAAAATTTTACCCTTTTTACATATCATTAAATTTTTATGAGAAAGATGAAGATATTACTCTATATCAAAGCTTATACATCATACCAACAAAAATGACACACACACACACACACACACACAGATATATATATATTAAGGGATCACAAAACCACAAAAATAACAATAACCACTTATTCTAATATATTTGTTTGTAATATATATATGCAACTTAAATAATTTTTATAGTATAGTATTAATTTTAAATTATATATTTAATAATATAATATCTATGTAGATATTACATATATTATTTTGTGAAATCAATTACAAATATATTATATATATACATATTATTGATATTTTTAATTTGTATTAATATATAGTTTAACATGTAATTTTTTATATGTATTTCTTTATATAAAATAAAAATAAAGATAATTTTAAATACAATAAAAATTAAAATTTAAAATAGGATATGAGTTTATTGAAATTTATAAGTATAAAATATATTTAACATGAATATTTTAAAAAAAAAATTAATAAAAATTGGGTCATACAATTCAATTAATGACACATCGGTTTAACCTTTGACTCGCTGATCCTGATCCAATTAAGTAAAAGATGGATAAATATAAATCAACATAAATATATAAATTTGAAAATTTCTTATTATTATATTTAATATTTATAATTTACTATAGTTGTCATTTGTCAAAATGAGTTATTTCAACATTGACCTTGAATGAATATATATATATATATATATGTGTGTATATACTAATTTATATAATAAATTATAAAATTTACATTCAACATTTTATTTTATATATAATTATAATATTTTTTGACAGGTAAATATAAAATATATTATTAACTAAAATATTAAAATAAAAAATAATTATTTAAGTATTTTTTAGAAAATTATTTGAAGATAATTATAATTTTAAAAATAGTATATAATTTAGAAAAGTAACTACATAAATAAAAATAACTTTAAAATCATATTTTTGAATTTGATGTTTTTAAAAATTAAATTAATACTTATTTTTTTATAAAGTTATATGTAATTTTAGTAAAATAGAAGTTTTTACTTAAATATAATTTATATAATATCTTATTGATATATTTTAAATACAAAACATATAGTACGATAATATTGTCTTATATGTTATCACAGTATGCATCAAATATGTGATAAGATTTAAGTTTATCGTGCACTTATCATATTTTGGCCATCAAACTGATAGTAAAAGGATTCAGCTTTTAATTACGTAAAAAGTAGAGTTATTAATTAATATACCACACAATATTGATCAATCATGTATTACATATAAGATAACATAATGGTTAAGTTCAATTGGTCTTTTATTTTATTTTTAAAAATTATTTTAGTTATTTTTATTTAAAAATATTTATGATGATTTTAATCTTATAGGTTTAGATTGATGAAGGTCTTTAAATCATGTCTCAAAATCCACAAGGATTATTATTTTAGAATTGTAGCTACCCGACTTGATTCCTACACTGTACGACACAACTACTAGCAATGAAGAACATTTAACTCAAGACTATAGATATACAAATACCAAAACCTATATTATACTACAAGTTGGAAAATCAACTAAATTTTTAGGTGCAATATAACTACAGTAATCTAGTAATATAACCTATACATCCTAAATTATCGGTCAAACAACTAGTGTATCTATACAAAACTACCACCATAAGGTAGTCAACAAAATGTCCTCTAGCTCCTATGTCACTAAGTGGCCTTCACAACAACTCTCCAACCGTATCCCTATCATGTTCCCATATCGCGTATGATAATCATATTCTATACCACATGAAAACATGTAAGAGTAAGCTAGAGTAAAAAGGAACAACATATATGCATATATATATATATATATATATATATATATATATATATATATATATATATATATATAGGTGCGTGTGTGTATGTAAACAACACAAAAACATCACATCAACTCATCTTCAACAACATAACAACAGAACATCACAATATATAATACAAGTCAACATTACAACTTTACTTCAACGCAGCAAACACATTACATCACAAATCAACACAACATAATAGATCATCTCAACTCAACATAGCATATGGACAATATAATGAACTCGAACACATCATATGCTCAACATAGTATCTCATATATGTTGTCACGCATTTAAACTAGGAGATCTCCTACAATATGGAGTGTGAGTAGTTTAAGCGGTTTGAACTTACCAAGCTAATAACATAGGGTGATCTTTTTAAGTTTGCTAAATCAACAACAAATTGGATATAAATCCACAACACAATAACTCAGTTTCTCGGATGTTGCCACTTAAATAAGGAAGTATAGTACTAATGTCAAGATAGAATAATTGGTACGAGCCTATCATGACATTAGCTAGCTTAACCAAGCCTCTTATGAGATTAGCCCACCGACTACCCTCTAAATATTATAACCTTTCGATACTCATTTAGGAACTTGGTGTCAACTTCATACTTTATTTGGTTAATCACTTGTAAACAGTATAGCTCGATCTAACCCCTATATTGTGATCACTTCATAGATGTGTGTCTCGACATTACCCACACATGATACCAACAAAGTCCTAGAGGAGAAATAACATAGCATCCACTTCAAGAGTTGACTTCTCAAGAAGAGTTTTTAACAAATTGGGTTCTTAGAGCGCCACAACACACTATCCACACAATAGGATAGGCAACTTTCAAAAATATCTCCTCTAGTTATAAGTGGTCAATACAACAACTCATTATATTTTCAACACAGCAACACACAACTTTTCAACTCATATTTTCATCATCATAACTCATTTACAACACTATAATCAACATGCATCTCAACAACACATCATATTTTTAGTATAACTACTCAATCAACACACAACATGGTCAACACTCAACGTACAACTCACAACTAACTCATCATATAACAACTTAAACCAGTAAGAAACCAACACTTTATCAATCAAATCATCATGTTTTACTTCAATCAACTCATGCCCGATGCTACTTACCTTGCATTTGATGTCATCTAAGTAGTGAGTTCTTTGTTTCACCCATGCCCAACACTACATAACCCGTGCCCGGCGTGGGTAAGGTAGAGGCCCTTGGGACCTCACGCCTAGTATGGTAAAACACAATGTTTAGTCTCATCTCAGGCAAAGAGTCTCTACCTGAGTCTCGCTCGACGTCATCACCACGATGCTCAGTGAAAATCAAACAAAGAGCACTGCCTTGGCCACATTAGGCACCACACAACATTGGGCTCGACGTCACCAAGTCAAAGAACTCCCAAGACATCCATACCTAGCACCATTTAACCACGCTCAGTGTCATTCTAACCTGAGACGAGTCTCTCTCCTCACGCCCAACACCACCAACCTTGCGCTTGGTGTGATCGAGACAAAAAGCCTCAAGTTACAACAACGTTTAGTGCCTTGAAGGCGCACTCAGTGCAACATCAAAATTCTTCATATGCAATACTTGATTTTAAGCTATAACTTGAAATCCAATAGAAATCCAACGCATGCAACACAAAACAACAATTACATACGTCACAACAAATCCTTAAAGGCACTTTAAATTGGCATGCAACCAAAAATCAACTCAAATCATCACATTCTTCTAAAAACCCTTAAAACATCAACTATCAACTCTCAACACCCAACACTTTCTAATTTGTTCCATATTTAGCCACGAATTTGAAATGAATTCGTGGAAGTTACAGCCAACACCACCTTCAACAACTCAACAACTCCATAAAAGCAAGAATCTAGTTTCCTTTATCTCGGGTAACTCGGCTCCAAGGTAGAAGAAGAACGATCGACTACATAACAAATTCAATGGCTTGATTCGAGGTTTCCATTACTTGAATCACAATAACACCACTTAGAAGAGAATTGGAAAAAAGAATAAAAGAAGATTGAGAGAAAAGAGCTCACAGATCAGAGACTTTCTCTCTAGAATACTTTCTCTAGAAAGTTTAGGGAAAAAGTTTATGAGGCTCTACTGAAAATAGAAACCTTATATATTTTTCCCTCCATGGTTAAATTGGATGTCTACCAAGAAAACCCCTTCTCAATAGCACTAAAGCTCTAAAGGGATCCTTAGACTCCAGAGCCTCTTAACTCTAATAACTTAACTTAATAACATAAACAACTAGGAGTAACAAAATACTATCAAAACTTATAGTGTTATAATACTCCCTAACAATAGAAAATTTTATCTCCGAAAATAGACTTACTTGGGAATAAAAATGGGTACTGTTTTCTGCACTACTCCTCAACCTCCCAAGTAGCCTCACCAATAGTTGCATCCCATAGAATCTTCCCTAAGTCAATAGACTTGCCTCTCAACTCCTTTAGCTTATGATCAACCACAACTACATTCTCTTCTCATAAGTCAGGTTCTCTCTAACCTAAACTTAACCTAGCTCAACAACATGACTTAAGTCATGAACATACTTTCTTAACTAGGAGACATGAAACATATCATGTAGGTTGGAAAGGAAAGGTGGCAAGGCCAACTGATAAGCTATCGGACCTACATGATGAAGGATCTAGTAAGGACCAAGGAATATCAACGTTAACTTCTTATCCCTTACCGCCCTTCCCACTCTAGTAGTGGGTGTTACCTTAGAAACACATGTTTTCCCTCAATAAACTCCGATCCAAAGATTTTCTCTTCTTATCAGCATATGATTTCTGTCTACTCTAGACAATCCTTATTCTCTCTTGAATCTGCTTCACTTTCTCAGTAGTCTTTAGTACTAACTCCAACCTCACAACTACTAATTCACCATCTTGGTACCAACATAGAAGAGTCCTACATCTCTTGTTATACAAGGCCTCAAATGGTGCCATTCCAATACAAGCATGAAAACTGTTGTTATAAGTAAACTCCACTAATGGTAGGACTCCTCCCAACTCCCCAAGTGGTCTAGCACACAAGTCTTCAACAAATCCTCTAAGGATTGAATAATCCTTTCTAACTGGGCATTTGTCTATGAATGATATGCAGAACTCAACCTCAACTTTGTCTCTAAGGCCTGGTGTAGACTTTGCCAAAATCTATAAATGAATTTTGGATCTCAATTCGAAATATTATTAGAAGGCACCCCGTGCAACTATACTATTTTCCTCACATACAATTGCGTCAACTTCTCTAAGAACCACTTAATATTGACGAACAAGAAATGAGGGCACTTGGTCAACTTGTCAACAATTACCTAGATAACATCACTATTCCTAACTGACCTCAACAACCCCACAATAAAATTCATAGTGATATTATCCTACTTGTATTCTAGGATCTCCATCATCTAAAGCAAACCACCTAACTTTTGATGCTCAACTTTCGCCTTCTAACAAGTTAGACAGACCGCCACATATTCTACAATTTCTCTCTTCATACCAGATCACCAGAAAATCTTCTTGAGATCTTGGTATATTTTAGTCATACCAAAATGTATGCTAAGTTTTTTCTTGTTTACATGTACATATTTGGGATGTTATAACCCATAAGTGAACTTATTTTCTTATGTTATCATAGATTTTTTTTTTGGTCAAATGTGATTAGTTCATTCTCATATATGTATGTGTTGTCATATATTTATAAATTACTTTTGTACAAGAAATTTAGGATAGTTGATTTATGTCAAGTGAATGTTATATTATATTCATGTAATAACTTATCAAGGTGTTACAATCATACAATTATTTGACTTAATTGCATTTTTGATCCCTTAAGAATAATAATTGTGCAATTTTGGTCTCCAAAATTTTAATTGAGTAATTTTAGTTCTTTAAAGATTGTAATTGTGTGATTTTAGTCCCTCAAATATCATAATTATATGATTTTAGTTTTTTTCATTAAAAATTTAACAATTTAAAATATATATATATATATATATATATACATATACATATATATATATAATATTTTAAAATTATACAATT